GAGGAACAATGAACTTTGGGTTTGTTCCCTCCACTAAAATTGCCCTAGACTCTGGGAGACCTCTAGCAACAGCAGCACTAACAAACTGCCCTGACTTAGGCTCAATGAACTCTGTCTGAACCACATGAACCGGAGCTATGCGGAGGGTCTGTGTTGCCCTTCTTTCTTTAGCTACTTCTACCACCGAAGGCACAGACACACAGCCCAAACTGTCCTCTCCAGTGTACTTGATTGGGAAATTGACTCCACCTAGCAACAAATAAGCCTTGGAAGATTTGTTACCGGTAAATAACTTCATGTCTAACCTGCGTAGGAAATCCATTCCCATCAGCAAGTCCCCTGGAAAATGAATTTTATCTGCAACACAAACACGATGCAAAAGTTTTGATTCACCTATAGTAAAAAGTACATCCATTTCTCCCAGTACTGACATCGCAGCCCAGCAACGCCCTGAAGAGTCTTACTGCTACGTAATATCTTTGTGTCAGACAAACTAGAGGCCACTGAAGCTTTAAGAATGGTGACTTCGCTACCTGTATCAACAAATGCTGTCAGGACTTTACTATTGACCCGAACCTGGATTGTTGGTCTCCCTTTGGGAGACACGACTTGTGGGCTCACATGAAAAGTTTCCTCTGCCGGCAGGAAGTGGTGTCGTGGCCTGCCGGCGCGACGGAAAGGGACATGCCGCCGCGAAATGACCCTGTTCACCACAGACATAACACAACCCTTGACCCCTCATACACTCTGATGTATTATGGCTACTAACCCTATGATAGGTGCACCACTTCTTAGGGCGCACTGCCTGAAATTGTCGTTGCCTAGGAGAACCCGGCTGACCCCTCTCATTGTCAAAGTTGTGGGAATGGCCTGGGGAACCTGTCTGAGTTGCCTGAGTAGCCTGAACAGAAAAAGGGTTGTCTGAATAAAAATCGAGACCAGGAACACTTTCAGCAGGTAAGGGACGTGTAGTAGGTGGGTAGGTAAAGGTAGAAGACGAGGGAGGTGAGGCCACGGGCTGAGATGCCTGGCCGCCACAATGACGGGAAACCTGAGTGGCGAGGGGAAGAGACATTCGTAGACCTGTCCAATCATTCCAGGCACACTGTACCCGCTCAGCCATGGCTCGAGCCGAGGAGAACGTGTGCAAGGAAAGTTGGCGCTGCAACCTTTCTGGCAAGCCAGCCTTGAAAGTCCTCCTAATGAGTCCCTCAGCATCACCTATCTCGTGAGGATAATCCCTCACACCCTGGAACACCGCCATCTCGACCTGCTGATAATAGTCAAGCGGCGTCTGACCTGGAATCATTCTACTCTGTGACAGCATCTCGAAAAAACTTTCACTGGTGCAGGTACCTCTAAATTTCATGCGAAGCTGAGCTTTAAATTCTGTCCACGAAGAAATAAACTCAAACACCGGGGAGAGCAACAAATACTGTGCATATCCCTGGCCCTAGCTTTAGCAACACGAATAAAATTATCATCTGTAGGAGGTCTTGCTAGAGCCTCAATGGTACTAATCCAGGCCTCTACTTCCTGATTGCGAACCAGAGGCATTGATGCTGGTGTATCCCTTTAAATACTGGGACCTCTTCACGCCCCAAATAAATGGGATGAGGTGTGTGGCTATAATCTGAGGTCGTGGGTAATTGCCCTACAGAATGACAGCATGCATGACGTGCCTGAGGCTGTGGCCTGGGGAGGCATGACTCGCGGGCGTCAGGCCTTCCCGAAGGCCCACTAGCTAACTGTGGAGGTGGGACGCTCCCCGAGAAAGTTCGGGAGTGGATGCTCCAGAGCGAGGCTCATGCGGAGTCCGTAATTGCCGCATCTCTTCTCGCAGGTGCCGTTCTGTCCTTCTAAGGTATCTATCCTATGTAAGGCAGCCTCTAATTGAGCCTGAAGGGCTCCTAATTCCAATGGGGCAGCACCCTGGAGAGGGGCACTGTCATCACCCTCCTGCATGGACGCACCATCGGGAGCCACGTGGCTTCCCTGCACATCATGGACCGGCATAATAGCGACACTGAGCTCAACTGGAGTATTGGCGCGACTGCCCTTCTGACCGCTTTTCTGGCCTGCCCTCGTCCTAGCCATCAGCCTCTTAGAAATACGAACAAGAGACCTTCTCTGAGCGCGGTTACAAGTACTTACTGTTCCCCGAGAATCTTCGCTCAACAAGTCAGCACAGCCACAAGAGACCAAGTCATCTAATAACGTAACACCCGGTACTGTGGAAGACATACGACAAATATACATGAGAATATGAAACGAATTACACTTCACACTCGTACATCACTATACATATCACTTTACGCATCACTTGTCACTGCACTTTAACACACAGCACCGATTATGACGGTGTCACCACTGAACACAACAATATGCACATTACAACACCATAACACCATATGCTACACAGAGGCAGGGCATCATTCACCATAATACTTTCATTCACTACAAGAAAAAGCAAATACGTATTCACGCCGCTAACACCCACTAATCATACTTTACCATATACACTGTCGCTCATTGTCGCTTCGGCCACAGTTCACGCAAGAACCAGGTGAAAGGCAGGGCTGATCTTCAACACCACAGTATCACAGTATTGTAGTAGCAGCATCACAAGCTACGGGTACAAGGGAGCAGTATCCCGAGATCTCACAAATACATAAAAATGGATGACTTAAGAACATGAATAAATATATATCAATGGCAGGTCAGCTTTTCACATACTAGGGTTAACCAAAGTTATAATGTACCACGTGTTCACTATTACATCATTGCATCAAGATGGTATTATACTAGTCATCAGCCTAAAGAATTCGTTTAAAATGATAACAAGTAAAAGCAAACGACTATATAAAATTATCAAAATAAAATTACATGTAAAACTTAGGTAAAACAGGTTTGAAAAAAAAAAAAAGATCTTTCCTAAAACTCGAGATCTTAAAAGTACGTAAAAATACAAAGGAAACGTAAAATTCTGAAAAACTACGACTCTAGGCGTATGGGGAACGTATGTGACTAGTATAATACACGAAACAATATGAAAACCAGCCAATTATCACATACCGCCGCTAGCCACCAAAATCCTGTAAGGTAACAGTAACGCAGTACTGCTACTTCTTGTACAATACCGGGACAATTCTAGGCCAGTGTCCCTCGGAGATCTGTTCACCTTCCTTTTTACCTTCAATCACCACATGCGAGTACCACCTGGCCACCCCCACGTCGTACATCGGACATGTAGTGGTAGCGGCCAAAGCGGATGAGCGGGGGAGTCCAGGTCACGGCACTCGCATACGTCAGGAAACAAGTTCATTTAATGCCATGTAAATTACTATAAATTCTCATGTATATTTGCACATTTCAGAAATTCAATAGTTCATATCCAGCAATACTTTACGCTGAACTTTGTCATCACTAATTAGCTGGGGGAAATCATGAACGATACGCTGCTTGTTTGTTTGTTTATTTTCGTCTTAGACCCTAGCTTACAAGTTTACCCTTCTTGCACCAGTCACTAAGGTATAAAATAAATCATTGGTGATTTCCCTGTAAAATACATAATGATGGCCGTGACCTTACGTGTAGCAGCGGGGTCCGAACAGGAAGGAGGCGAGACCAGATCTCCCGGTAATGGTACTACCCCAAAAGTACCAGGGGGTATCAGCGCCCTCTACCGGGGTATCGTGTACTCTCGTGGACACTCGTGAGTGGCTGCTTTGTCACGGTTTATGACGTCACTAATGACGTAGCAAAACACTAGCGTGACGTCACTAGCAGACGCCATACAAATACTTGATGTATCATTAACATTGTTCGTGACACATCCTCCTGGTGGATAGTGTCCTCACATGATTTACTGGGCATATAAGAGGCAATAACATTGCATGTACGTAGCTAAGCCCACGTACGTTTGCTTACAATATTACGGGCGGTACCCCGCATTCCCACCACGAAGGATAAATACACATAAAAAGGGTATATACAAGGAAAATAAAACAATGCTGACAGTAGTTCTCGGTCCCATTTTCCAATGGGTTCATTGAATCCGACTCGTGCCATGGACTTGTCATACCAAAAGGGGGGGGGGGTACCGTGGTAGGACAAAGTGGGCGGATAGTCCCACTACAACCCTCCCGGGCCCTGGGTCGTATGGTCCGATAGTTCAGCGGACCTACGACCTCCCCATACACATCAGGCCTTCTCATCTCACACCAGAGCCGAGGGGTCGCCTTCTCTTCTCGCGCTAAGGGCTAAGGGTTTGCCTGGGGCTCATAATCGGTATAAATATATACATGAACATCATAACTGGAAAGAGAACATAAGGTCAGCATGGCATATATGTAGGTTACAAGGAGTCACCGAATGATACATTTTAACTTTTGACTGGGCAAGGTGGTCCACAAGTATTACAAACTTAATCTAAAACTTGACAAAACAGAAAAAAAGTAAACAAATTAAAACCAATACAATATCAAAAACTTTAAAAAAAATTAAGAGAAAAAATAATGCAGAATTCAAGACATTGAAATTAAGACACGAATAAAACAAGATTCAAAACATTAAAATTAAGAGAACATAAAACTGAATAAGATTGAAATTAAGAGAGCACAAGTAAAACATAAAACATGAAAATTAAGAGAACAAATGAAACGATTTCAAAACATTAAAATTAAGAACACGAATAAAACAAGGATTCAAAACATTAAAATTAAGAGAACATAAAACTGAATAAGACATTGAAATTAAGAGAGCACAAGTAAAACATAAAACATGAAAATTAGGAGAACAAAATTAAAAGAAAAGACACCTACCGACTCGACAATGAGCGACTGAGCAAGCACACCACAGTACACCTTCAGTCACGCCATCTCATTCATTCCTCCCAAACCTCGTAGTCACTGTAATCATTGTTCGTTTCTGTGCTCATATCTGCACCAGAGTAAAGGAAATGATAAACACTAGGAGACCTGTTCAGGGGTCCCGAATTACTAAATTTCCGTCCGGTCATACCCGAAGTCATCAAGCACATGTACAGGTGCTGCTACGTCTGGGGGACGGCCTGGCAACGGACCGTCAACACCTGGGGGATCAGAAGGCAGTCTGTCTCCAACCTCAACATAGTCTAGTTCAGCAGGAGGGAGATACATTTTCAACTGATCTCTGTGCTGCTTCACTATACGATAAGGGGGCTGAAGGTCTTTAACCTCGAATACAACGGGACCTATTTGCTTGATCACTCTACAGGGACCTTGCCATCGGTCCTGTAACGCCCCTCCGGTAAAGTCCCTACGGAGGACGAGCGCACCTTCCTCCGGCTGCCAGGTAGAGCGAACTTTCCGATTGTGCGCCTGTGCATTGGCCTCTCTGGAACGGAGAGAAGCAGCAATGGCAAGCTGCCTGGCCTTAGCCAGCTGTTGCACCCTGAGATTAGTGTCCGTCGTTACTTGGTTGGTGAGTCCCCTGGGAAACAAGGCATCTTCCCAGTAAGGAGGTAAAGAGGCTGGTCCCCACCGAGCGATGTATGGCTGAATTTATGGCTAACCTTACGGAGGTCAGATATAGCGGCCACCTCCCTGGTTTATCAGCCACAAGCATAGCAAGGGCATCCTTCACAACCCTGTTTGTCCGTTCAACTAAACCATTTGAACTAGGATGATATGCTATGGTGAACGAACATCGTATCTCCAGCTGTCTACACACTTCCTGCCACTGTTCATTAGCAAACTCGCCCCCATTGTCTGTCATTATCTGTCGGGGTGGTCCAAAAAGGGTTATAAAGTGATCATAAAATCCCCGAAGAACCGTTTCTGCTGTCTTATTCCTGAGTGGAACGAGCTGCAAGTACCTGGAGTGGTGATCCACTATTGACAGAACATATCGATAGCCACCCACGGAAGCTCGGAGATCCATGAGATCTGCGGACACAAGCTCCAATGGGCCACTGGGTGGTGGACGACACTGCATCTCGGCACGTTCACGTGAACCTTTCCTGTGCTGACAAGCTGTACAGTGCTGCACGTACCATTTGCATAGCCGGAACATGTTTGGAAAGAAGTAGCTATTTTGCAAATTGTGGTATGTACGTAGAGCACCAGGGTGAGCTGCAGTAGGATGGTCATGAGCAAGATGTAAGGCTTGCGACTGCAGTGAATGAGGAACACACACCTGCCTGATAATTCGATCCGGCAAAGATTTCAGGTGATATAAAACTCCATCATCAAGTTCAAATTCGTGAAGGGATGCTGGCAAGGCCCTTCTAGGAAGTTTCTTACCCTCTAAGATTCTATGATCTCCTTCCAGAGGTCCTCTTTCAACTGGTACTCTCGTAACACAGCAGAGGCGAGAGTGGCAAGGTTGACAGGAGTGTCCGAGTTTACACTATGATTCTCATTAACAAGGGCCTCATCTTGTGAGCATGGCAGAGAGTCTATAAAAGGCCTCGACAGCAAGTCAGGAACATAATTTGATGGACCAGGTTTATATACTAGTTTAAAATCATAAAAACTCAACTCATGGGCAAACCTGCTCATACGAGGCGACTTTGTTTTGCGGGAGAACACATAGTGAGAGGGCGATGGTCAGTGTATATAGTAAATGGTCTCCCATACATAAGGGTCGAATACCCGAACAGCCTCTACTACAGCAAGAGCCTCAAGATCTATGGCAGGATATCGAGACTCCGCATCTTTCAACGTCCTCGACCAATATGAAACGGCCTGGGGCTCTCCACTATCACTACGCTGAAGAAGAACTGCGCCGAGAGCTTGTGCAGAAGCATCTGTATGAATTTCAAAATGTCGCTCAAAGTCAGGTAGACGCAAAATGGGAGCTGAAACAAGGGCGTCTTTAAGATTTTTAAAGGCTTTCTCCGCTTCTGGTGACCATGTAAATGACACACCCTTTTTTGTAAGTTGCGTCAATGGACGGGCAACACTGGCAAAACCCTGTACATGCCGCCGAAAGAACCCACATGCCCAGAAAGCGGCGAACCTCACGTACAGATCTGGGACGTTTCATATCATTAATGACCTGAACCTTAATGGGATTGGGTAACACACCATCAGGGCTTACAACAAAACCAAGGAACTCTATCTGGTGTTTGGCAAATAAGCACTTAGCAAGATTAAGTTTCATACCAGCCTCATCTAACAGTGCTAGAGTTTCAGCAAGATTATTTAGATGGCTTTCAAATGTCTTACTGGCCACAACTACATCATCCAGATACGCTAGCGTGTGTCTCCAAGCACACTTGACAGCACAACATTCATCGTCCTCTGGAATGTAGTTGGGGCCGTGGATAACCCAAAGGGCATTCTTTGAAACTGGAAGAGGCGTGCTCCATCAGTAAAAGCTGTTTTTGGCCTATCTTCCTCAGCTACCTCTATTGCCCAATATGCTGCTCTACTGTCCAGTACGGTATACCAAACATTGCCCGTCAAACTGTCTATGACCTCGTCGATTCGAGGTAAGGGATAACTATCAGCAGCAGTGACATGATTCAAGCCCCGGTAGTCAACACAAAAGCGAACTGTCCCATCCTTTTTCCTTACTAGGACTACCGGAGAGAGCCAGGGTGACGTGGAAGGCTCAATAACCCCTTGCTTAAGCATTGTGTCACACTCTGAACGTATCAGCTCCTTGGTTGCCTGAGGAAGACGCCACTGCCTAACGCACACAGGTTGATCTGTTTTAGTAACAATGTGGTGCTGTATACCAGGCACCTTACCGATAGTTGCTTTGTCCCCAGAGAAGAGTCGAGGAAACTTATTCAAAACTTTACCGAGTTCCTCTTGCTGCACAGAATCTAAGTGACCCAAATCTACCTGTTTACTTGGTGAATCACTACTTTCTACTACATTAATGCCTGATTTATTTGGAGAGAGGACAGAATCATCAGAGCAGGCATCAGAACCACTCAGAGCTGGAGTATCTGGGAAAACAAAATACTCTTCGTCTGAATAACCAAAGTCCTGTGTTGCATAATATTCATCAAGACTATCGAAACTAAAGTTACAGAGCTCGATATCATCTGAAGTATCTGAAGGACACTCGGCTACTTGTTCATCTGCTGGCCATACCTTGCAAGATCTAGGGGCCAGTTCATCTGCGTCTATTTCAGCAAGGGAGTGTACCTGAGTAGTGGCATCAGTGAACTTGGGTTGTGAAAACTCGGCAGCCTCTGGGCTGAAATCTCGTCCTGCATGCCCAGTTGAGGAGGGATGAGTCACTGTATCCTCCTTCACCCTGGGTTCTTTTCCTGTCACATTACCCTCTGCACTAACATCCACTCTGCTCCTACTTGCTCTGCACTTGCTCTGCAAAACCTATACAAGTACCCTGTGTCAATTTCCTTTGTTTTGCATCTGGATTTACCACCCAAACTGACGTTCTTCTGCCCTGTACAGCAGAGATGGAGCGAGGAACAATGAACTTTGGGTTTGTTCCCTCCACTAAATTGCCCTAGACTCTGGGAGACCTCTAGCAACAGCAGCACTAACAAACTGCCCTGACTTAGGCTCAATGAACTCTGTCTGAACCACATGAACCGGAGCTATGCGGAGGGTCTGTGTTGCCCTTCTTTCTTTAGCTACTTCTACCACCGAAGGCACAGACACACAGCCCAAACTGTCCTCTCCAGTGTACTTGATTGGGAAATTGACTCCACCTAGCAACAAATAAGCCTTGGAAGATTTGTTACCGGTAAATAACTTCATGTCTAACCTGCGTAGGAAATCCATTCCCATCAGCAAGTCTCCTGGAAAATGAATTTTATCTGCAACACAAACACGATGCAAAAGTTTTGATTCACCTATAGTAAAAGTACATCCATTTCTCCCAGTACTGACATCGCAGCCCCAGCAACGCCCTGAAGAGTCTTACTGCTACGTAATATCTTTGTGTCAGACAAACTAGAGGCCACTGAAGCTTTAAGAATGGTGACTTCGCTACCTGTATCAACAAATGCTGTCAGGACTTTTTATTGACCCGAACCTGGATTGTTGGTCTCCCTTTGGGAGACACGACTTGTGGGCTCACATGAAAAGTTTCCTCTGCCGGCAGGAAGTGGTGTCGTGGCCTGCCGGCGCGACGGAAAGGGACATGCCGCCGCGAAATGACCCTGTTCACCACAGACATAACACAACCCTTGACCCCTCATACACTCTGATGTATTATGGCTACTAACCCTATGATAGGTGCACACTTCTTAGGGCGCACTGCCTGAAATTGTCGTTGCCTAGGAGAACCCGGCTGACCCCTCTCATTGTCAAAGTTGTGGGAATGGCCTGGGGAACCTGTCTGAGTTGCCTGAGTAGCCTGAACAGAAAAAGGGTTGTCTGAATAAAAATCGAGACCAGGAACACTTTCAGCAGGTAAGGGACGTGTAGTAGGTGGGTAGGTAAAGGTAGAAGACGAGGGAGGTGAGGCCACGGGCTGAGATGCCTGGCCGCCACAATGACGGGAAACCTGAGTGGCGAGGGGAAGAGACATTCGTAGACCTGTCCAATCATTCCAGGCACACTGTACCCGCTCAGCCATGGCTCGAGCCGAGGAGAACGTGTGCAAGGAAAGTTGGCGCTGCAACCTTTCTGGCAAGCCAGCCTTGAAAGTCCTCCTAATGAGTCCCTCAGCATCACCTATCTCGTGAGGATAATCCCTCACACCCTGGAACACCGCCATCTCGACCTGCTGATAATAGTCAAGCGGCGTCTGACCTGGAATCATTCTACTCTGTGACAGCATCTCGAAAAAACTTTCACTGGTGCAGGTACCTCTAAATTCATGCGAAGCTGAGCTTTAAATTCTGTCCACGAAGAAATAAACTCAAACACCGGGGAGAACAAAAATACTGTGCATATCCCCTGGCCCTAGCTTTAGCAACACGAATAAAATTATCATCTGTAGGAGGTCTTGCTAGAGCCTCAATGGTACTAATCCAGGCCTCTACTTCCTGATTGCGACCAGAGGCATTGATGCTGGTGTATCCCCTTTAAATACTGGGACCTCTTCACGCCCCAAATAAATGGGATGAGGTGTGTGGCTATAATCTGAGGTCGTGGGTAATTGCCCTACAGAATGACAGCATGCATGACGTGCCTGAGGCTGTGGCCTGGGGGGAGGCATGACTCGCGGGCGTCAGGCCTTCCCGAAGGCCACTAGCTAACTGTGGAGGTGGGACGCTCCCCCGAGAAAGTTCGGGAGTGGATGCTCCAGAGCGAGGCTCATGCGGAGTCCGTAATTGCCGCATCTCTTCTCGCAGGTGCCGTTCTGTCCTTCTAAGGTATCTATCCTATGTAAGGCAGCCTCTAATTGAGCCTGAAGGGCTCCTAATTCCAATGGGGCAGCACCCTGGAGAGGGGCACTGTCATCACCCTCCTGCATGGACGCACCATCGGGAGCCACGTGGCTTCCCTGCACATCATGGACCGGCATAAGCGACACTGAGCTCAACTGGAGTATTGGCGCGACTGCCCTTCTGACCGCTTTTCTGGCCTGCCCTCGTCCTAGCCATCAGCCTCTTAGAAATACGAACAGAGACCTTCTCTGAGCGCGGTTACAAGTACTTACTGTTCCCCGAGAATCTTCGCTCAACAAGTCAGCACAGCCACAAGAGACCAAGTCATCTAATAACGTAACACCGGTACTGTGGAAGACATACGACATAAATATACATGAGAATATGAAACGAATTACACTTCACACTCGTACATCACTATACATATCACTTACGCATCACTTGTCACTGCACTTTAACACACAGCACCGATTATGACGGTGTCACCACTGAACACAACAATATGCACATTACAACACCATAACACCATATGCTACACAGAGGCAGGGCATCATTCACCATAATACTTTCATTCACTACAAGAAAAAGCAAATACGTATTCACGCCGCTAACACCCACTAATCATACTTTACCATATACACTGTCGCTCATTGTCGCTTCGGCCCACAGTTCACGCAAAACCAGGTGAAAGGCAGGGCTGATCTTCAACACCACAGTATCACAGTATTACGTAGTAGACAGCAGCACA